CTTTCTCAGCCCCAGGAGGCAGGCCTGATGCCATAGGACTTTACTAGAAACCAGACCTGGACTCCACCTAACACTGTGTTTGCTAAGCTGGCTTTTCAAACATCTTTCAAAGGACTTTTCTTAAATGTAACAACATTTTAAGTCTGAAAATAGCATAGTCATGCTTTTTAACACACACTAGGATTTTTAGTCCCCTCAGTACAGAGGTGCCCTAGATCCAGGGCTCTAACCTCTGCTTCATTTCCTTATTGTCCCCACTTGGCTGTCAGTGCTGAGAACCACCTTTCCATGGTGCCATGTCTGCTGGAAAGGAATTTTTCAGAATAAGAGTTCTCATATAAGATAGCAAAGGTTATTGCACAAATTTTGCAGATGGCCTGGTTGGGACCAGAAAGTCCCCACAAAACCCAGCTAGTATGCAGGTTTTAAACCAAGCATTCACTTGCCCAGCTCTTGTCCACTCAACAAAGTTCTGAGTTTTCAATTCTGCTATTATTTCAATGAAATTGACAAAGGTACATTGAGGTGGGTTGGAAGTCATAATATAGAGCTTGTTATATAATTTATCATTTATTTAATAATTGAGTGATTAATAAGTTATTTAATCAATTATTATGAAACTTACTGTATTAATGAAAATTATCACTAATCATTCACCTATTATTTTTTCAAAAGAATAGAACTCTAAAAACAAATTATTTCATTTACTGCAAGTGTTTTGTTGCTCAATTGTTTTGGTGTTTTCATCAATGGGATGATGGGACATAATGTGTTAAAGATGCAAGTGTGAAAAGGGCAAACCATATATTTGTATTGTTATGAAAACAGTTTTGATCTTGTAAACCCCTGGAAAGGGTGCCAGGGTCCCCCAGGAGCTCCTGACATTTTGAGAATTGCCGCCTGAGCAGACAGACAAAACCAGCTTCTGTGTTCACTCCTCCCAGGGCCTCAAACAGTGAGGGTTCTTGAAAGCATCTACAAACAAATCTGTCAGAGGGAATCTCTCTTCTTAGAAAGGAGGGACCCCCCCCCCCCCCAATCAACCCCTGAGGGCCTGATGGGACTATAGGATATGTTCACTAGAGGCCATGTTCCCATCTTAAACAAGAAAGTACAAAGTGGCCCCCTGGGCAGTGAATCCTGCAAGGGATTGAATGTGGTCGCTGTGTAACAGCCGTTTCTGCTGGGCCAGGCTCTCTTTGCCTGATCTGGTACTGTGCCAGCCCCTCTGTGGCAGATGCCTAACACAGCTCTGCTGTTGCTTTCACAGAGAGCCCAACAAGACCAACCTGGTCACATTCTTCCAGACTGACCTCAGCGGTTACCTCCCACAGAGCGTAGTGGACTCCTTCTTCCCTCGGAGCATGACCAGTTTTTATGCCAACCTTCAGAAAGCAGTGAAGAAATTCCATGACTGATGCCCTCAGTTGTTGGCAAAGAACATCTGTGACTCATTGAGGAGCTCCACTTGCTGGAATACCTCAGATCTAGGAGAACCCAAGCCTGCTTTTACTCTTGGGCAGTGAGTCTCTAAGAATGCCAGCCAAGGGCGATAGCCCACCCACTCCTACTTCCTCTGTCCTCTCAGGATTGGCAGGAGAGGAACCATTCACATACTTCTAATTCTACCTGTGATCCAAATTCACCTGATTCAGGATGGACCCAAACTTCTGGCTACCTGACAAGAACTCAGCTCAGCACTGTGATTCCAATCCTGTGTGTACCTCTCACTGTCAGAGGCCATGTCTCCATGTTTGTCCTAGAGAATCATGATGAACACTGAAACCAAGTCCTCAGTGCATTTTTTGGAAACCCTCATACATGTTTTAACACCACGTAAGATTTTCCCCTTAAAAACATGTCAACTTGGAAAAATAATTGTTTTGAACAATTGAATAAGCCTTAAGAAAAAATTATTTCCATTTGGATCAATACTTTCCGTGGTTCTTCTGTTGGAATTGGTCTTCTGCCTTCTTTCCTTTGAGTGAGTTAACTTTCATATCACCAGTAACACCAGGGAGTTTGAATCTGCCCCAGGCCAAATCTGCAGTCTTTGAGATTAGTTTTCTTTGAGAGTGACTCTAAATAGAGTAAACTTCTCCTGTCTGTGTGCAGAACTCTGGGGATAAGCGTCTCCTTCCCCAGGGTATCTACCTCTTCTTGCCCTCTGTTAAGAAGGCCAAAGCTGGAGTGCTCTGGCCTCCAGGGCCCCATCAGGCCACACTGCCACCGAGAAGGAGGGCAGAGCAGGCCTCCCTCTAGCATCCCTGGCTAGAATCTTTCCTCTAAGAGTCTGCTACTAGACTGTACAACCCTGCAGTGTCCATACCCACCTGTATATCATCAGAGCCAGGGAGCACAGCTTTATCACCCAGAAGAGACTCAGCAGGAAGTCAACACACAACTTCTTTTACCTGTGTCCAATCAAGGCATCATAGCCAGAATGATCCTCTAGCATTCCTTTGAAACCTTGTCTGGCTTCCACCTTTGTAATGAAGACCCCTCCTGTGTCTGATCAGAGGCCCTTCATGTGGCAGCTTCTGTTACTATTGCCCATGCAGGAAATTTCCATGGCATTCCACCTTTGCTACTCCAAACATAAGTCACTAACTCTTGGATGACCAGTCACTTAAGGACTTGAATCTGGCCCATGTGATATTCTGTGCTGACGCTACATGAATCAGTTTGCATCAGGTTAAACTGGTTTGAGCCCAGAAGACTCAGAACAATTGTTACAGAAAACATCACCATGCCACATGATGAGATTGTGCAGGCACAGGGAGTGTGCCCAGCCCTGGGCAGGCCCACAGAAAGACCCGGGGGAGAAAGTAGGTCTGCTTTGACTTTCTAATGTATGGAGGCACACCGTTTCTTGAATTTTGACACAGTGAGATAATGTATTAACCAGTAAAATGCCATACAAAGCAAAGAACTAGGACTGCCAGGGAGGGGCCCTTGAGAGGATTCCTTCTCATGGAGAGTACTAGGTCCAGGGTTATTAACTGTAATGTCTGCAGTGTTGGAGAGTAACTGGAAATATTGTTTCTAAGCCACTGTTTTCCAAGCCTCTGTCAGCTTCAAAGAAGTTGGCCAAGGACAGTGAAACCTCACAATGAAATCCTCACGCGATGGAACTCAGAACTCTTGCCCATAACTGCCCTGAATTCTCTTGACTTGGAGACCAGGAACCTGAGCAAGAGAAAGGGAACTTCTAAAAGAGGGCAGAGACAGGAAGAATACTTGGAGAGCCATGGGCTCACCATATTCATGCCCTTGTCCTCAGACAACCTCTTCCTACCCACCTGCTTGCTTTGCCTCATTTCCCAAGGAGTCTCAGGATCACAGGCCCATAATAGCTCCATGCTCCTACCTTTCCCCACCTTCCTTTCTCTTTCCCTGGGCTGGTCCCACTCTATCACTTGGCTGCTTGAGAAGACTCAGAACAATTCCCGGTCACATGCGTGCCCAGATGATGAGATTGTGCAGGTATGGAGTGTGACCTCATTGCCCGGCCCTGGGCAGGCACACAGTAAGACCCTGGGGTGTGGGCATTGTATTGAGTTATACTTTCATCAAGTTTACCTCCAGTGTTCCTATTAAATCTAAAAACTGATAACATGATATTTCAAATTTCTTATCTACTTGCTTGAAGAAATTCAGGATGGGGTGAGCAAGACAATGTGCAAGAAACAAACTAAGCCCATTATTTCTCAGAATAATAAAACACAATCAGCTGATGCTAACTGTGACGAGAACACTAAAGGGGTTTACCTGAAGAGTAGGAACCCAGCTGGGTTTTCTGAGTCCAGTCTTCTGAAAGATTCTTGGCTTCCTGTGGACCCTGGAGAAGCCATCAAATTACATTAGCATGGTCCCATGGATTTATGGCCTGGGAATAAACTACTTTGTGTTTTATCTGTGATCCTTGTCAGGCCTTCCCCCACATTCAGTGTATAGGAGCAGAAGCTCAGGAGGGGCTGGTATTCTGGACTAGACCTGGTCAAAGTATGCTGGCTGTTGCTAATTCAAAGTTTCATTGACTTGTCCTGAGTTTGGCAATCAGGTGCTCAGCAATGACCAAAGGTAATACCCATTGGTCGGGTATTCATAGGTATTTTTCCCTAACTTACAAAAATTTTGGCCTCAAAGATCTAAGAGCCTATTATTGATCTCTCCCAAACCACCGAAGGACTCAAATCTCTCTCTGATCACTTCACAGCTGGGCAAGTTACTTACTATCCCTGAGTTTCAGTGCCCTCATCAATAGAGTGGCACAGAACCACATGCTGTACAAGGTGCTGTGATTACTAAACACCATTTCACATCAAACACAGTGCTTGGCATATGATAGGAAGGTGGTAGCCATTTTTATCTTATGCTTACATACATGGTGGTACATCCTGTTGGTGCACTTCTCCACACCTTGAGTCTCACCTTTACTCTGCTCACTGGCTCTATCACCTGACACCTTCCTTGCCTAGGATCACTTATTCGAAAACAAATGTTTTGTGTGAAAGACTTTATTTTCCAAATATGGCCTTGGCCATATTTTCATATCCTATAAATCTGAGTGGATTTGGGCCAGCTCTGACAGATTACAGGGGAAGCAATGCTATGGGACTCCTGAAATGAGGGCATAAAAAAAGATGCTGCTTCTACCTGGCTCTTGCACTCCCGGGATGCTCACCCAGAGAGTTCAGGAGCCGTGTTATAAGGAAGCCCAGGCCACAGGGGTTGGCCACCTGTAGATGTTCAGGCCAAAGCCCAGCTGCATCCCCAGGCAGACAACTCCCAGATGTATTATGAAATGATCCTTCACACGGTCAAAGACTTCCAGCCTTTGAGTTGCTGCAGTTGATGCCAAGTGGGAGTAGGGAGAGGTGAGCTCTCTGGCCAAGGCCTGCCCACACTTCAGAATCATGATAAAAACAAATGTTGCTATTGTGGGGCAGGTTGTTACAGTTATAATACTCATAAGATTTTGCACAGCAGGACATGGGTTCAGATCAAATTGTAATATATCCATTTTATTATGGCACCACAACATTATCATTAAACTTCATATATATACAGTATACAGTTTGTATCAGCCACCCCAGCATGACTCTGCCTTATTTTGATGACAATCCTCTTGCTGGATTGTTTTCCAGAAGGTCTGGACCTGAGCAGCAATCCCCAGGAAGCACACCTGTGCTTTCCCTGATCTGGGTGGGGTGGGCAGCAGAGACCCTGAGAATCAGCAGTTATGGGAGCTGTGTGCTCATGGCTTTGGCTTCAGAGTTGGTGCCCTGTCTAGGGGTCTCCAGTGGCTGTGGTCCCCTTGGACTGCAGGCTTTTCCGTTTGATAACAATAGTGACAGGTCCATCAGGCAGTGCCTTGATGACATTCCAGGCTTCAAACCGTGTGAGACCCTGCATAGCAGTGCCAGCCAGATGCAAGATTTCATCTCCTGGCAGGACCATCTCACTTTGTTCTGCAGCTGCCCCTGAAACAAGGGAGAAGAACATTATAATGGGCTCGACTGGTGATAGGACAAAACGAGAAGTTACTTCTACCTGTGATCTCGGAGCCAGGACAGCTGAGAAGAGAATGACACATCCATTTCTTGGAAGCTTGGTGGTGGTTCCAAAATGAGGAATATTATAAAATGGTGTCTCAGCACTTAGACACCAGGCTCCAGCTCTCTGTGGAAAACTGCAGCCCTTGCTATTCCCAGAGGAAGGAGATTCCAGGCAGCACCAAGCCAGAGCCCGGTTAGTAAGACTTATACAATTCACAGAAGACTCTAGGGTGCTAAATCCTCCTCAATGCCTCCCTTGAACACTGAGCCAATATCCCACCCCCTTGCTTTTGGTCTCCCTTTCTTGTGAGAACAGTACTGGGCGGTACAGGAACAGAGCTGGTGAGATTTTCATGAGGCAGTCTTCATGGGCTTTTGGCTCTGAGCAGCATGGAGAAGGCCTCTGTGCCCATATAAGAAAGACATAATTTTGTATGGTACCCACTCTTCAAAAGCTGCATGTGGAAACAGGACTTTTTATACAGTTTATAAATTTCCCAGTTGACACCATGACCTTCACAAATAATGAAAAAAAATACAAAATAATAAAACGGCTAAATTATTTTGGTTAATTGTTATGATGGGCATTGTGCTAATGGTTTGCATTGGTGACAGTAATCCTATGAGGCATATGCCTTTAGTATTCCCTTTTTACAGGTGAAGAAACCAAAGACTAAAGTGCTTCTTTCAGAGCTTCAAAACTGCTAAAGTGGTTGAACCTGCATTGAAGCCCAGAACTTCTGGCTCTAGCATCCACATCCCTTAGAACCTTGCAGCTGGTTAGTTATCCCCATAGGAGCAAATGGGCCCAGGATGGTGAATTGACTTGCTCAAGCTCATCCTACTCTAAGGAGGAGAATTAGCATTGGAACCAAGTTCATGGGTCCAAGTCTTTTGACTCTGTTGACTTTGGACCCCATTCTAATTCCAAATTGACCTTTGAAAAAGTTCAAATTATCTTTCTCAAAATTGGAATTAACATAGATTCTGGGGGAATCATCATATACACCTCAGCCTACCCTCTGGGTTTTCATAGCTGCCACAGAGATTCCTCTAACAAAACCAGTTGGCCACAGGGATCCATGTAGGACAGAGAGCAGAGTTGGGAGGCCCTTAGGGTCCCAGTTCTAAGAGCTCTCAGACACATACCTATACTTCTTTGCCTCTTTTATTTTATTTTATTTTTTCCTTTGGATGAGAAGAAGTGGTCACCCAGCAACTCAGAGGCAGAGCTGGAACTAGCTCCCAGACCTCTTAGCATCCTTTCCTGTGTTCAGGTCTCACAACACCTTGCCCTGTGGTGCATAGGCTTCCAGTTGAAGAGTAGCAAAGAATTCAGGGAAGATTTATATGGCAGCTTTAGGTCATTCATGATTTTCACAGGAAAACCCAAACCCAGTGACCCCCACGTCAAATACTCTTGCACCCCCACACCTTGGCTTCCCCACCCTGACTTTAAGCCAGCAGAGAGCACCGTCCCTGCATGGGCATCCCTTTGTGGAAAACCAATGCTGGGGCCAGAGACAGAGGCTGAGGCTACAGGAATGTATGGGATATTTAGTCCTCCCCAATCTATGGTGAAGAAAATATCAAAATTGTAAGTAAAAGTGGGAGCTGATGAGTTAGGACTAGGGTAAGGCCAGTAAGGTCAAGTGGAGCAGGTACAAAGCCAGACTTTGATTGTATTTTGTTCAACATGAATTTTTTAAAATTAGTTTGATTTAAAATATATATATATATATTGCACTGAAGGCTGGGGATATAGCTCAATGACAGAGCACTTGTATAGCATGCTCAGGGCCCTAGGTTTAATTCCCAGAGACTGCAAAATTAATTAATCAATTGAAATTTTGCATTGAGCTGGGTTTGGTGATATAGAAGGCCGAGGCAAAAAGGATCATAACTTTAAGGCCAACCTCAGCAACTTAGGGAGACCCTGTCTCAAAAATAAAAAGGGCTGAGAGTATAGCTCAGTGACAGAGGGTGTCTGGGTTCAATCCCCAGTACCCCAGGAAGGAAGAAAGGAAAGAAGGGAGGGAGGAAGGCAGGGAGGAAGGAAGGAAGAAAGGAAGGACTGAAATTGTATTGATCTTGATTACTGTGTATTTTGGTGCCCCATTAAATTTTGAACCTCAGGCCAGGGTTTCACCTGCCTCAGTCTAGTCCTGGCTCTGCTAAGCTGAACCAAGCCCAGGGCTCAGTTGCAAGAGGACTTTTATGGTTTAAATTTGGTATCCCAAAAAAAACTCACAGGTGAGACAAAGCAAAAAGATTTGGAGAAGAAGTTATTGGGTTATAACCTTAACCTAATCAGTGATCAATCTGCCATGGGATTACTGAGTGGCAACTTGAGGCAGATAGGGTGTGGCTGGAGGAAGTGGTTCATTAATGGTGTGATTATGGGGTATATATTTTGTATCTGGAGAGTGGAGTCTCTTTCTCCCTCTGCTTCCTGATCATCATGTGAGCCACTTCCCTTCCGCCATACTCTTCTGCCATGTTGTTCTGCCTCACCTTGAGCCCTAAGGAATTGAGTCAGCTGTCTATAGACTGAGACATCTAAAATGGTGAGCCCTCAAATAAACTTTTCCTCCTCTAAAATTGTTCTGGTCTGATATTTTAGTCACAGCTGTGAGAAAGTTGACTAAAACAAGGACCTAGTAAAACAGAGGGGTTAAGGGGCTATCTGAGCAAAGGGGTAAAGGTTGAAAAGCAAAACTGAGCCCTAAATGGACCTGCATGCCTCTCAAGAGGACATGGGGTTATGGGAAACCAATGTCACCAGAAAGTGCCCATGAAACTGGAGAGCATTCAAAAAGCCCATACCACACCTTTGAAAATCCTGTTGATGGTGAGAGGTTTGTCTCCATGCAGGGAGCCCTTCCCTCCTTCCAGGCTGAAGCCCAACCCTGCCGAGGTCTTCTCCAGTGTCACGGTGCAGACTGTTGCCTCTGCTGCTGAGGAAGATGCAGGGACTTGTTAGAGGCTGCTCTACTCCCAAGCCGTGGATGACCCGGCTGGTGCTGTGTTCACACACTCGTGAACACAAGACACACATCTCCACAAGATACTAGGCAGGTCACATGTGGTTGGGGCCACAAATTACTAAGCATCCCCACCTACACTGGCTCCAAGTGGCCAGAGGCAATATGGTCCATAAAGCTTCCACTGAGTGGGGAGAACTTACTGGATTCTACAGAAACATCACTGGCTGCAGAAGCTGAGGCTGCAGAGTCAGTGGAGGAGTTCAAATCCAGGGTGGCCTCCAGAGTTGACCTCCTTGTGACAATCACAGCTTGCCTTGGGTCCCGAGCTTGGCGGAGGATGGCCAGAGCATCATTGTGGGTGGCCCCTTTGAGGGACTTTCCATTGATGGAAAGAACCTCATTGCCCTTCTGAATAGTCCCTTCCTGGGAGGCCAACCCGTTTGGAAACACTCTGTGAACCTGAGTAAATGAAAGGAAATCAGGAAGTCAGATCCATATTGATAGAGGATCTGAACTTGTCAGGCAGTCAACTCTATAGGGATTTTTGAAGCCAAAGAAAACTAAGACTAATTGTGTCCTAGATCAGAGCTACTGGCACAGGGACTAGCTTCCCCTTGTCCTCTACCCATAGCAGAGATCACCAGCAATAACGTCCAGGTGAGCCTTCAGAATTCTTCTCAGAACCATGCCCTGGACCACATCACTACAATCTTCATGGACATTCCCGGGGAAATCTTCTGCCTTACCTGTCCTAGATCAGCATTTCCCAAACTACTTCCCTTGAATTCTGATTCTATGGCATGTTAATAGGTGATGAGTAATAAAGGGTTTCTAAGATCAAAGAAACTTGAGAAATACTGAATTAAGCAAAAAATAAAAAAAAAAACCTCTGAAAACGTCTATTTCTCTAAAGACATTAGAAACACTACAATGCAAATTTGCATAGATCTCTAAGAACGGGCAATATGATATGGTGATTGCCCATAGTGTTCCAACAAAGAACCCTTTCTCCATAGAGAAATGCTCTCTCTGGTCCCATCTTCTGCAGGATATATTTGATATACACCATCGTAGGCAGTCTAGACATTAGTCACTTCTTGATCACTTTCACAAAAATATGCAGGATTCAAACAAAATGTCTTTGCCTTGCTCTCTTTAATGACGTAAATTATAATTAAGAGGATTGATGGGCACTCACTTAAAGGGGCTACAGATTGTTTTACTTTTTATGATGTGAACAAGCACTTTAGTCTCTGAAGTGGTTTTGGTGTTAGAAAATTCTATTATGTGGTCAGATAATGTCAGAATTCCTAGGCTGTGAGCCCCCAGCATGAAGCAGAACTTCTGCTGTGAGGTTCCTCCTCTATAAAACAACTATTCAACCCAAGATGTGGGAAGATTAATTTAGACAAGAGGTCACTGAGGTGGTGAGCACACTGAGGTCACTGAGCATGGTGCTTGGTCATGCATGGTCTCATACTTGGTTCTCTTTTTACAAATCTATAAATGAAGAGAACTGTTAAACACGGAAGGAGAAAGAGGAAATTTTGCTCACATGCTCATTCAGCGTGCTGAATTTGAGTGCTCAGGGTGGCTGGCCAAATAGAGTGAAGAGAAATTGCTACTCAAGGACAGAGAAAAAGGTCCGAAGTGCTATTCCCACAGGCAGGCTCTATTCAAACACAAGAGAGCCTTCTCTATAAATTGAAAGGGAACTAACTACAGAATCAGGAACCTGTTTATAGTATTCAGCCAAGTGCTTAATAACAGAAATAGGTACTTTTTAGTTTTATGTGCTTTTTTGTGGTAAAGAACTTATAAATAAATCAAGGAAGTCACTGCTCACTCAGGACCAACTGAAGTGACAAATAGTAATGTACCACATCACCATTGCAAGGGGATATGGTGTGTTTAAAGCTGGCCGGTGCTATGGACTGGAAGATTTATTGCAGCTGGGCAAAGACATTCAAATGAGCCCACCACCATCTACATACCCTGAGACAACACAGCTGTGGGATGACAACTATATGCGCTCAGCTTTAGAGAGACACAGCAGCTATGTCATTGCCTGGTCCATGAAGATAGGAGGATCAGAAACCATCTGGGTCAAGTACACTTGGTCTGGAGCAGTGGGCTGATCAGATTGCCCAGGCCAGAATCATGGGGTCCACTGATGTGTTGCTCTCTCAGCACCATCCGGGCTTTAGCAGTTCCTCTGTGAACAGGGGCTGGACCACGGGATCTGAAGTCCTGGGATGTGTACTGCTATTTACATGCATGCACAGTAACTGTTCTTTCCTCCAGCTGGGGCCCGTTGTGCTCAACTAACCATCAGATTGGCTTCTCAGCTGCCTAAGTGAACAGTCTCACCCTCTGAGTGGGCAAAAGTAGGAAAGCCACTGTTTTTACAGGGCTCTGCCTTTTGACGTTCCTTCCTATGAGGTGATCTGTGTTGTACCCCAGGCCAGGTCTTCAATCCTGACTGTACAGCCTTCTAAAAAGGCGCCTGTGCTCATAAACTGAGAAACTGATGTGACTCCATTTTTGAAAAAATAAATAACAGCAGCTTCTACCTCAAAGCCTGTCCAAGGAAGGGGACGTGACCCTTGTCCTTGGAAAAAACCACAGAGCACTCTTAGGCACATATCCACCCTGCTGAGTTGTTTGTCTACAAATAACAGGAGAGATCTGCAGGGGCCAGGTGTCCCTGACTCAGTTAGGCTAGGTGAGGACCCATAGCAACCCCCTAACAACCACCAATCAGCATGGGACAGGGAGAATACCTGGGATGCCAGATGACCCCCCAGTAGTCTGGGTAGCTGATAACATGTTAGGAAACCATATAGTTCAATACGTACACCCCTTGAGGATTAAACCAATCAGTTCAAACGAATCCTCCTCTTACACTAACCAATCACCCCTACCCAACTTGTTTCCGCCAGTGAATGTGCTAATCAATGTTAAGAGTTGTTGTTTCACTTTCCCGCGGTGTGAAATGATTTGCTGTGTGATGTTGTGATGCATAGAGTATCCCAAAAAAACCTATAAATCCTCACTGAACTAAGGGCCGGGGCTCGACTCCTGGAGGTCTATTAGGGTCCCACGACTCTGGCATTACAGAACGACTCTTATCTAAATCTTAGTGATTACTAGGACTATATTTCCAAAGGAAGAGACATGACATTGAATAAAATGTAGTTTCAGTTTTTAAAATATCCCCTGGAATCTTAAACAATGTAGGCAATAGGGCTTCAATCCTGCAAAATTCTGATTCAGATGTTCTGGTGTGAAAATCATAAACACACACACATACACACACATTTTTGAAGCTCCACAAGTGATTCAGTTTCATTTGGGTACATTGAAGTTGTTTTGCGTACCCAGAGACCTTCTTTATTAAAGTGAGGATTAGGATGAGGGTTAAATATGAAGTCCCACACAAGTAACCCGTCTGTGGTTCTTGAAAAGGAGGGTCCTGTTGGCTCTCCTTTAAGATCCTGTCTAACTGCCTGCCCAGTGACCTGGCGTCATGCATTCCTCTGTTCCCCAGCACAGGGCCCCAACCTGGCAAGTTTGCCCCTCCCCCAGAGACATCCTCTCAGGCTCAGAAACGCCCCCATCTTTGGCCCACTTACCGTAATCACCTTGTTTTCTAGATCTGCTCCTCCTGCCAAGCTGAAGCCAAGGCCAGCGCCTTCCTCCTTGTGTAAGATGGTGACGTGGATGCTGTCTAATTGCTGCAAATGAAAACACATAAATGCCTCAGGGCAGCAGCATGAACAATTCAATAAATGCTTTAACATCAGACTGATTTATTTTATCAAGCTCAGCTGGGCCAGGCTCCAAGTTCTGTCACTTCCTCAAACCTCAGTTTCAGTTTCATCATCTATAGAGAAGACTGTACTTTCAGAGGAAGTTTAGAAGTAGAAAAAAGATGTATGTAAAACAGCAAGCACAATTCTTTTCCTTTCTTCCTTACCCCATCTGTACCCGCACTAATACATGCTGGGCTAGCCGCTATGGAGTTAGCTAAAATCCCAGCATGATAGATAATGAAGCTCTACCATGTCTTTAGGACAAGGACTTTGGGTCAGAAAGCCAAGATTCAGTACTGTTTTGCAGAAGTTGGTTACTCCCTCTTTCTCCCTTCTCCTCTGTGGGACCCAGTAGCAGCAGTCTGGGGCCCAGCTGACCTCTCTCTCTAGAATACATGCATAACCAGACATGTACACAAATGCAGGTACACACACAGCATTTCCCAGCCTGGACATGGGCTCCCACAGAGCCAGGACAACCTCCCTGTATAGACCAAAGCCAGCAACCCCTATTCTGGTCTAGAATTGCAGTCTTTAAGCTCCGGCTCCTACAGAGGCCAGCAGGTCACTTAAATGAGCAAAATGGGTAGATGTGAGATGAAGGAATCACAGCCAACAAATATATATTTCCTGCTCTAAAGGGTTGGCGACTACGTAGGAAGACAGACCCAATGCTACTAGATCATTTCCTTTAAAGAATAGAGTTAGAAATCCAGGTATTGATTTAGGTTTTGTAATGTCTAGAATTCAATAACAAAAAAATCATCATTGAGACGAAATAAAATACACCTTCAGGTCCCAGAGCTCGGCAGTCACTGTTTTGCAACCTGTGCTAGGGAGTGAATTTATGTCAAAGAATTCACTTGCTCCAAGCACCATCAGAGTCCCTGACTTGCAGCTGGCTCTGTGATCCTTTGATTTGGAATCTCCAAGACCAGACATGATGAAAGGATAGTGTCCCTCACTGCTCCAGTGCCAGCCCAAATCTCCCCCCCTGGGATGCCCTATAGGTTCTTGCCAGGTTAGATTACAAATACCCTCCCTATAACACCTTAGGTGGGACTGCTCTTTGTATTTTATGCACTTTTGCCTCCTTTATTTCATTTGAGCTAAATCAGGCCTTGGGGAACCATGGTCCCAGCTAGGTGTGAGAGTCACAGAGGAGGAATCAAGGCCCAGGGACACCTTATACTCATCAGATTTTACCACACCTGGGAATTGCAGCTATGATGTTTCTCTTATAGGGAAGTGAGGGTCTCCTTGTTCTCTCCTTCTAATCTGGATTATTCCAATGGAGGAATTCTATATGAGACCTGGGAATCCCATGGTCATCTGACAGTTGGCCCTAGTTCTGCCCAGCCGCTTTCTCACTATTCACTTTTAGGCTGTGCTCAGAAAGCATATGGGAACTAAGGCTTCCAGAATTACTTGGCTGATGCATGGGGACTCTGTGAGCTCACCTTCCAATGTGGATCAGAAATGCTGAAAGCTCCAAAGTGAGACCTCTCATAGCCCATGCTGTTTACAGAGAACACTGTGCTACCTACCACACAGCATCTCACTGAGACAGGCCAAGTTGGTAGCTCATGGGATGTGGACACAGTACTGTTTGAACTTGGAGTACCAAGGAGGCTCTGTGTCCTTGAACACTGCCTTTCTCGTTTATGAAATGGGAAAAATGATGCAGTGTATTAAAAGCATCTCATGCTGGAAAACTTCCTTCAAATGTAAAGTCTTACTGTGGTCAAGTGATACAGTGTCCCTCTACCTTGGAAAGGAGAGACCTGGGTCTCTTGTGTCAGCAACTAGGAGCTGACTTCTCTAGCTTCAAGACCCATGGAACTTCATGAGCTGCTTCCCCTTTGTCCAAACTGTGGTAACCAAACAACCCACAATAACCTCTTGCCACTGTAAATACTTACAAAAGAAACCTACCTTTAATGTTGCTTCATCCAGAACTCTCACTTCCTCAATGAGTTTTTTTAATTCTTCTGAACTGAGCAGGGAGATGACTGACTGACCAGACTGAGAGGAACAATGGTCCCTGTCATCGGCTTCCTTGGGCTCAGTGAGACCTTCTGTATATTCTCTTAGCTCTGAAAGGCTTTCATAAGAAGAAAGAGCACAGTGCATGAATAGCAATATTATGAAGAGCTAATATTTGTTGCATAATTACTCTATTTCAGGCATGATGCTAAACACTTTGGGGCATTTTAAATTTTGATGCAGCATAAGAACAATAAATAACACAAACAAATGCAGAACTGCACTGATTAAAGAGGGAGGACCAAGCTCCAACTCTGAAGAAGCCCCCAAAATACTTCTGCCCACTTCACATTTCTGTGAAGCAGGTCTTCTCCTTCACCTCTCAATTTCAGCTGAAGTGGAAACTAAGGATAAGCATTGAAGGAACCTGCTCATGGTCAGGGAGTCAGTACCTGAACTGGGGCCAAAACCCAGGTGTCCTAACTTCCTGTCCAAGGGTCTGAGCCTAGGAGTAGAGTACAAGTGAATTCCTTTTGGGGAGCAGCAGGAACTCCCAAGGGATAATCTCTTAGCTTCATCTGAATTAAGAATGGGACCTTTCAGATGTGCACCTGCCTTCCAAAATCTCCATGGGTAATTTGCCAGGGGGCCAATCTTGTGCTTCACTTTCTGAGGCTAGGTGTTGTGAAACCTTCTCCTTAATATGGAAGGGAGAGGTGTGGCACGCACATGTGCACATGTGAGCACATGCACACAAAGAGGTACTGGAGAATGAAAAAGGCTAAATTATATTATATTCTTGTACAAATATGTAACAAGGAATCCCACTATTATATTTAATTATAATGTACCAACTTAAATTTTCAAAGAAGGAGGAGGAAGAGGCAGAGGCAGAGGAGGAACAGCAGCAGAAGAAAAGGAACAATTTTAAACTAGTACATCTGATAGTAAATCTGAGAAATTTTTAAAAGTGGTATAGGCCAGGAGGCTAGCACATGCATGTAATACCAGCGACTCAGGAGGTTGAGGCAGTAGGACTGCAAGTTCAAGACCAGCCTCAACAATTGAGACCTTGTCTCAAAATAAAAAAAATAAAAGGACTAGGGATGGAGCTCAGTGAGACAGCACCCCTGGGTTCCATCTTTGGTATAATAAAAATAAGACTAAGTGGTAAGTAGAACTTTAAAAGAAAGAAAAATGAGAAAGGAAAGAAAGGTGAGGACAGTGAGAAAAACCCTGGTGTAGACACTCACTTGAGAGAAAACCCCAGGTCTGAGGAGGCTGGCTCGGAACTATTTGTAGCTGCATCTTCATTGGACGATGACTTTGGAGATGCCCTTTCCTTGGGAACGCAGGTGGTCTGGCCACAGGAGATTGAAGATGGAAGGCACAGCAAGGACTTCATGACAGCCGAGGACACCTGGCTGCTGATGGAGTAGAGCTTACTGGTCCTTTCATCAAATGGCTTAGTCTCATAAGATTGAGTCCTGGTCAGGGGGAAGCTGCGTGCCCGCTGGCTTGGCATCTTGAGGACTGGGCCTTGAGAGTCCTTAATTTGTGAGGACAGCAGCCTCGAGAGCGGGTCAGGGTCAGGGGAGAAGGTTTTCTGATGGGACCCCTGCCATGGAGGAGGAGACTCCGACACACCTGCATCACTGACCTTGGAGGCTGCAGGGAAACCTGAGGGCAGCTGCTCCTGCTCTGGATACCTGTGCTCCACAGAGAATGGAGCCCCTCGCCCAGAGAGGCCAGAAAACCGTCCTCCCTCTTGCTTTGCAGGAGGTTTAGAGGCTTCCCCAGAGGAGGGCTGAAGGCTTAGTCTCTGGGCTCCTCTGTCAGGCAGTTGAGAGGAGCCAAAGGTTTCAAAGGAACTGATTCTCTGCTTAATGGAGGAGGAGGTGGCCCTTGGGTGTGGCCCCAGGGGCTCCCTGGAAGCAGGTGTTGGCTGCAGGGATGAGGCCGGATCAGGCAGCCTTCTTGGGTCTGGAGCTCGATTCCTCAGACCTTTTAAACTCTGACGAAACCAGGCTGGCTTAGGGGCCACAGGGGGCCCTTTCTTCACAGTGCTGCTGTCCGCTGACTTGTAAACTTTGTGAGCACCATTGGCAGTGTCCAGCTTTGGTGAGGTCCCATCTGGGTGTCCCTGTGCCCCGTCTTCTTCACCCAGACTGACATTGGGCTGCAGTGGTATGTGGCCATGGTTCTCACTCATAATGGGGCTAAATAAGTTTTTGATGCAGTCAGAAATTCTGACCCAAGGGTCTTCAGCTGTGGTATCAAAGCTATAGTCCATCCGAGCCTGCCTCTTAAGCAGCGGGTGTTTAATTGGGGATGCTCGGGTCACTAGGGAGGAGAAACAAAGCCAGAGCTGGGCATTAATCTTATTATGACTTTTCTTCCTAAATTCTAGTTTCAAAGCTGAGCAGCAAAAGAGCTCTGGAGAAGATGAGCGGAAGTGGTGGACACCGAGATGGGCCAGCTCCAGTTGCTGTCACTTGACTGAGGTGCAGGACAGGAGAACCAGAAAGGGGAGTTAACTTCCTGGCATCCTAATGTTCCAGCATTGAAGATATACTCAAGAAATATCTGGTCTAATCTCTGGCATTTTGCACTTGAGGACTGCAGCGTTCAAGAAGAGCAAGGGGCCATCCAGTGGCAAAGCAAGGACAAGACCCCTCCCCTCCTGTCTCCTCACTCACATGCCCTTTCCACTGCCCAAAGTAACCCATTTCCCAGATAACCCATTAAAGTAAAGGCCAAACTAATTTTCTTCCCTTTTGAACTTTTAGGCCAAATCGGCTCCCATATTTGGTTTGGACTGCCTACGTCCATTGTGAATATACACTTTTAAGAGCTGATCACAATGTTCCAGGTAGACAAAAGCTCAGTGACACTGATTCTCAACCTTGGCTACACATCCAGATCTAAGGGTCCACCCCTAAGTTCTGAGTTAATACAGCTGGGATGCACCCTGGGTGTTGGGGATGCAATAAACCCTACTGGGGATTTCAGAGTAACACCTGCCCTGTGCCAGCAGGGACCTTGGGCATGCCCTGACACGGTCAGCCCTTTGATCTAGGAGGCAGTGAGCATGGCACTGGCATCCCATCTACATGGGCACAGAAGACTTTGCCCCTGGCTGTCTTTCCCAGGGATAGGAGAAAGTTGGCCCCTGAGTTCTGAAGGCAGGAAGTAAGTCGACATGTGGCCCTGCCATGTTTCCCACACATGCTAGATTTCTATGATTAAGCACATGATGCTGTGTGATTCCAAGGGAGATGTTTGATGCCAGAATGCAAACCAGCTTAAGAAACACTGTCCCGCCCTATCCCTTGTCTTAATGCCAGATCACAAGGGCAATAATCTATGTAGACGGCAGAACTTTGATGATATCAAGGAGAAGCTCTGCTCAATTCGGACAATCTGGGTGGGAATGAATGACCCCAGGACTTGGGAAAGTGAGTCTAGCTCTCTTGTTCTGTTTCTGCATTTATAAATTGTTCAGCAGTTAGGGGCTCTTGTGTTGAGATGTGGCAGTCAAAGGTTCTAGAGGCAAGCCCTCTTCAAGCTGGGCAGGACTAATAGTCCCCTGGTGTGTTCCTCAATTGGGATGACTAAGGGAAGGGAGTGTGGAGGGGTGAAGCCTCCATGGGCTGGGCACCTGTCTGTCTAAGATGTGCTGGATCTTTCCATTCGTAATGTTCCTTAACTCTCCAGGAGCCTGTCATCTGCTATTTTTTTTTGCAGTGTTTCTCAACCAGGCATATAGTTTATAGCCTACATGTTTATTTCTCTGTCATAACTGGCAGCTCCTTATGGCAGGAACTGGCCTGTTTCATCCTTTTCCCTATCTCTCCTCCAGCACCAAGTATAGGGCCTTTGAATCCAGCACTTAGTGTGTGCTTGCTGAATTGAATCATGTGTTGGGGTTCTCTGAGATCTTCCATTCCTTGTTGATGAGCCAATTGAGGCTCTCAAAGGCAAACGAGGGTATCCAGAATCATAGATAATGATGGATGATTAAGTATTTCCCAACACCAAATCCTAAGCTCTTTCTAGCAAGACACTGAGTACTAAAGTCATGTCTTAGTACTGCTCAATGTACCACGGGGGACACAAACTTGCTATCCACCTCATGGATGTGGTGACCACCAGCAAAATGATACTTATGCTTCCCTGACACTACATTCTCAGATTTAGAAAGACTGAAGGCAGTGCGGTAGATGTTATCATCCCACAGGCAGCTGCTCCCATGACGGTTGAGTGAGTGTGCCTTTGGACTGCTTCCCAAGGACCCCATTCTCCTGTTGCCTTCCTGGATTGGCCTGCATTCCCACCACAACCACTACAGCATCACTGATTCAATCTGGAGATTTCCCAGCCTGGACAGCACTCACTGTTCTGCTGTCCCAGAGCCCCAGACTCCTGATGGCTCATCAGCCTGAGCCACCAGACACATCAATGCAGAACGCTGATCCTCAGACTAAACTCGGGCTCTTACCTTATCACTGGACCTTTCTCTACGGGGCCCTACCTTCTAGAAGATTCCATGAGAGCTTACCTGGGCTGGCTCTTCTCCTCCCTGGCTCGCCTTCTGTGGAGGACGTGGTCGGAGGGTTGACTCCAGGTTCTGAGCAGCAGGCACCAGCACCCTGGGTTCTCCCTGCTGCGTCTTCCTGTGGAGGCAGTGGTGGCAGCAGCTCTCTGACTTCCTGTGGTGTAAACAGGAAGCAAGACTGTGTCAAAACGGTAGCCTTCAGCTGTGAGAAGGCAAGGCGCACTTTGATTAGGACAGGAGAGCGGATATTGAGCCGCCTTTAATGGAAAATTCATCAGCAGCCTTGTAAAGAGAGTTCTTTCCTCCAAGGTGCCATCATGGCAAAAACAGCACTGCCTGAAGGCCCCAGACAACCCTTGACTTCCAATAACCTGGTGTCCAGAACACGGCTGTGGAAGCAGGGGTCACCAGCTCTCTTCTACAGGGGAGGAGGCTTTGCCAGAGAGGTGCTTTTAGTCTCATTTTTGAAAAAAGAGTAAAATTTTACAGATAAGCCAAATAAGAGTGTTCTGTAGAAAAAGGCCAATCCAGGGAAGGCAAAGTCTCACTAAGTTGCTTAGAGCCAGAAAAAAAAAAAAAAAAAGAATGAGAAGGCAGACATCATCAGAATGATGCTCCTTATATTGGATGGTGGTGACCTCTGCATTGTACTGGTTCCAGAGTCATGTAACAGTGGGCCATTTGACAAAGCTCCAGGCCTCCCTACAGAGAGGAAGGAAGGAAGCAGGAGCGCATTCATGCATCCTTTGGGACCATAGGTGGCCCCCCCATCTGAGATGTAGTATCCACATACAAAAGAAACATTTTGGGGGAAGGAAAGTTGTACAGAAGTTACAAACGTGTTCACAAGTTATTGCATCAATGCAAGTTCCTACTGTAAAACTGAGCTTAAAGGGAGCATTTTGGAAATACCAAGTGATTAACCAATCTAAAGGAATTGTTGGGCTTCTTAAACTAGTCATCTGAAAAAGTACGGCTTGGCCATGGCATTAAACACTTAAAATATTAACCTGAAGGTCTCTAAGACTTTTATTACTCAGGATATTTTATTCCACCCCATTCCAAGTTCTGTAAAGTGACACCTGTCCATATCCATGAATTGTTGGCACTTGTATAGGCAGATATGGTTTCTAGCAAGTACAGTCATCAAAGTAGCTTTATTTATTTATTTATTTGTGGTACTGGGGAATTGAACCCAGGGGTGCTTTACCACTGAGCCACATCCCCAGCCTTTTTTATTTTTTATTTTAAGACAAAGTCTCACTAAGTTGCTTAGAGCCTGACTTGTTGAGGCTGACCTTCAACTTGTGATCGCCAACCTCAGCCTCCCAAATGGCTGGGATTACAGGCGTGCATCACCTTGCCTGGCTCATCAAAGTAGCTTGACATCTTGGAATAGACACAGATATGTTTCGTTTGATGTTGCATCCTCTTCATGGGAGGTTTTTCAAATTAGTTTCTGAAATAAGCTTAATTTTATACAAAATATTTTTCTGACAAAAGTTTTCTGGTACAGTGTTTGGTGGATGAGGGAGGGAGAAGGAAAAGAGAAAAAGGTCTAGAGAGACAGAGATGGATTTAAGAAAGAAAGTAATTGTTGTTTTAACACAGATTATAGTTTATGATGATTTTCTAAAAAGAGAAGAATTGGTGTTTTTTTGAGGAAAAGATCCTGATGGTCATTTTGGTTGTGGAAGTTAAGTCCCCTTGAGTTACAGTAGAAAAGAAAGATTTGAAGGACATCCACAGGAACTTGAGAAGGGCCTTGGGGCTATGAAGAAAAAAGTCTACAAAGGGGAGTAAGGAAAGGAGGGATGGAAAAAGAAGTAGAGGGGAGAGGATAGGAGGGAGGGAGAGATATTGTACACTGGAGCCACAGGATAACATCCAATGAGGAGTGACCAGGATTCGTCAACAATTTTTAAGAGGAGCCAAGTCAAGTAGATTGTTTCCTGTATCCGGTTGGGCTATAGTCCTTTCTTTATTAACCCCAATACCCAGCACAAGCTTGTTGTGCATGGTGGAATAGATTACAGGAGAAGGCCCGGTGGGAAAACACCTGGGGACAGAGAAGAGCAGCTGCAGAATTTTATCTGTGCTGCCGGGGACGGTGCTGCTGACAGAGGATTGAGGAAGGTGTGGTATACTGAGGAGGTACCAAAGATGAGGGAACCTGCTTGTGAGAAAGCTCCTTGTGTCAGCTCTTTGCCCAGAAACCCTGCCTTCTCCTCCTGCCATCTTACTTGGGGCTAATCCCTGCCCTGTGTATGGTCCCACCTGAGAAAGTGACCCATGGGCATCACCAGGACCACTACCCTCCTTCATTCCAGGAAGAGGATAAAATCATGGCCTCTCAGCCAGCCTGTTTCCAATCTGTCCTTCTCAGGCCCAAAGGAAAATGAGTTATTTGCTGAAAGGATGAAGGTGGAGGGTCAGATCCACACTGACAACTTCATCATGTGTTGGTAGCTAGCCACATCCTCCTCCTGTCTGCAAAAGAGCACTTCCTCTTTAGCAACCCAGCCTCATTCTACCCTTCTCTACTGACTCTCTCCATCTAGACCATCCATGTCCACCTCCACCACCAACTGGGATTTCTTATACCCCGAAGTTCATCAACCCTCATTATAGCTCATTGTAGGGAACTTCTGAGGCTTCCTTCTACCTGCCCAGAGGAGCAACTACCTAGAGAAGATTTGTGGCACAGTGGTTAACAGGGACCACTGGCAATATGAACTTGAGCAAGTTTCTCATTTCTGTCTTTACATAATTGGGACCTCACCCTCAGGGTGTTACAAGCCAGAGCTGAGACAATATACATGAAAATATTTAGCATACTGCCTGCACATAAAAATAATTCCCGATATAGCTGCTTCCTGTCTGTCCATTAGTCTTCCTTTAAGGAGGTGGGCAGGACTATGAGGAAGAAGGTCTCTAGGGGTATGATGGGGGAATGATCACAGCAAGGAGCACACTGTGTCTGAGACTATGCTAGACACTTCAGTTAACTGGTAACATTGAATCCTAACAGTAGCTCTTTGAGGGAATCACTAAATGCAATCTCAAGTGACAGATAAGGAAACCTAGGCTTAGAGAAGTTGGGATTTCTCCAAGGATCTCCACCTTGGAAGTCTAAGCTAACTGGAGGAGAAATAGAAGCCAATTTCTCATAATCACATCTGTCTACTTACTTAAAACAAAAAAAAAAGAGGATAATTAACTCTTGTCCCCTTTTAGCTATTTAGGCAACTACGATCCTTGCAAGCAGAGCACCTGAGAATTTCTGTGCAGTGACCTCTGCCTCCCCCATCAGGGAGTGGCCCTCCTGAACATCTGCTTTTTGTCCATCACAAAGGGTGTAACAATCGACCCACACACAGGGAACTCAAATTCCACTGGGTTATGGATGGGAAGCCAAGAGCCAATGCACAGGACTGGGGCTTCCAGTTTGGGTCTGCCAAGCTTCAAACTTATCTTCGCATAGTGAGATTTCACTTGACTCCTGAGCATCAGCCTTTCACTGCTGGAGCAGGAAACTGTATTGTGCCATGGCTGCTGCTTCTGCTGATCCTCAGGAATTCCTGTGTGTGACATCAACCAAAGGAAATCCAGTCCATCCCCATGTTCTCTTACCTGACTGCAGCTGGGCAAGGTGTGCCCAGAAGGGCATAAGGAGCTCTCTTTCCCTTCCAGACTCTGCTGAGGCTCACTGTCACTTTTAAAGTACTTTCTGGGCGGAGGCTTGGGCTTGGAGGACGTAGGTTTTCTCACCAAGATCTCGAAGGATTTCTTCAGTCTCAGAGGTGGATGGCCATCTAAGCTCTCCGGGAGGGGCGGGCTCTCCTGGGGTGGCCTGGATGAGGCCATTGGAAGCACCCCTGACTCCCTCCCCAGGGGCAGGCTGGGGCTGTGGGTGCAGCTTTCTCCATCAGAGGGCTGCTTCTCAGCACTGCCACTGCAGGGACTGCCCCCTGGGGACCCAGACATGTAGCTGCTGTCACTGCTGGAGCGGACCATGACCTTCTGAGCCCTGCGATGTGGGGGTGCTGAGTTCTTCTCTCGCTCTTTCTCCAAGGTAGGCCGCCCGTGCCAGCTGCTCTCCAGCCTTTTGACTCCTATAAGGGAAGCACAAGGGAACCTCCACAGCTGAGCTTTGGAAGTCAGCAAACACTCCAGCCTTGCCCTGACCTCTCCAGACAGCACACGGGACTCCAGACGTCGGCTGCTCAGCCAAGACCACTTTGTACTTAGAGCCCAGCAGCCTCTGGTTTGGTCCCCAAAGAGCTGTATGCCTTTGGGTTGAGGAAATTCTGAACTGGTGATGGATACAAAGTTGTGCTGCTCAGATTGCCTATCAAAAAGGACTTGGTATCCCTCTTGTGCTGTGACTGGTGGCAGATGGCTTTCAAACATCTGTTCCTCCGGGAACTGCCTCAGCTTCAGAGAGCTGCCTTGCCAAGGGGGTGGCCTAGTTCCAGTGACTGATGGAGATGGGTGAGAATAGTCCTGCCATTGCTGCCAACACAGGCCCACCTTATTTTAGCTGCAGATTTCCAGGGGTTGGTCCATCTCAGCTCCTCTCTCCCTCTGCCCAACCCCACTTTCTCTCCTTCCTTCCACAGGTTTCAATCCTAGGAAACCTTACTAAAAATATCTTGCATGCTAAATTCTATCTCAGGATCAGCTTCCTGGGGAAACTCAGCCCACCACACTCAATTTCTTCATCTGTAAAATAGGGATAATAATTGCAAGGTTTCTAGGCTTCCTTTGAGGTTCACTATCAAAGAAAGAGAATGCAAGGAAGGCACTTTGAAACTTATATCAACAGGTTACAAATTTTTTTTTCCAGCTAAAGAAGTTAGCTCAGAAAAACCAGTTTCTTGCTGTGGTCCTCTCTTTCCTGCCCTTTCCAGCCCAGCTCCTCCTTCTAGTCCTCAAACTGTAACCCTGCCACCATAGTTCCCCACACTAGAGCCACCCACACATCCTTGAGAGGCCCTTCTCTCTAGTGGTGAGCTGTCAAAGAGGCTCCTTTCTTAGAGTCACAGCTAAAGCAGGTGGTAGTAGATTGAAGCCTGGTTTCTTGCTCAAACTCCCGCCCATTCTGTGAGGCTGAGAGAGCCAAGTGAGCCCCATGGGAGGGCACTTGAGACTTTAGGAGAGAACCAACACCAGCCAAGCTCATAATTCAAATCCTTTTTTTTTTTAAGTTTTTTCTTTCTTTCTTTCTTTCTTTCTTTCTTTTTCTTCTTCTTGTATACAAAGTAATGCATCCTCACTTAAGAAAAACCAGCCACAAAAAGAGTAAAAGATGGAAGAAAGTAAACACTCTCTTGTGTTCCAATCATCCAGAGATTACCATGGTTAAAACGGTGAATTTTTCAGGCACCTTCCCCATAGCATATATGTATCTTGGGTGGATGGAAATAGTAGAACACAGTTGAAATACCATTCTGTGTCATCTGTCCTTTTCTCTCAATGTTTCTTGTACCATTTATTCCCTTTGTCAGCATCAGTGCTGCACATGAATGTTCCATGATGAGCTCCCTAATGTTCAACAGCTGGGCATGGGAGTCAGCCAGCTGGGTCACTGACCCAGATCCTCTCTCTGCACAATAGCACTATGTCTTTGGGTAAGGGAGCCCCTCAGGGCCTCACTTGTTTTCTGTAAAATGTGCACAAAATTTAGATATGAAGATTCAGTAAAATAATGCATGAATTAGCACAGTGTCTGATATTATAAGAATCCAATAAGTGCTAGATATCGTATTATTAGATATTACAGTTTCTCAAGATTTCATTATTAAATAATAGTGGCTGCAAAATTCAATGTGTATGGGGAAATGTGTGTGAAAAGCAAAATGACAGAAAAAAAAAACAGAAATGGTGGGGACCACAGAGAACTGGAGAGTGCCTGCCACATTTAAAATAATTCAAATTCAGATGCTTTCAAAATCTTGCACTTTCCAAACAAAGTAAAAGTGTGAGCCATGTTTAGCAAGTGGAATCCTGACTTTCAATGCTTGCCCATGCATCACGCCTTTCTGTAATGACTATTCTTACATATTCTTATGATAGAGGGCAATACCCTGAATTTCAAAGGAGAAGATATTTTAAATCAAAGTCCACTATTTTCCTTACCTTCCAAGCTCCACTGATGCCTCTCTTTTCCAAACTTGATGTTTTCCATAGCCTGAGTCACAGCTTCTTTGAGTTGCTGCTCAGAGACCTAGAAAACATTGGTCCCTTTCTCAAACAGTGGAAACCCCTGCCCTAGGCTCCAAGTGCTGACCCCGCTGTGCCCCTGTATTCTAGCATCTTTCCTTCTAGTCCAATCTACAAACAGTTGACAATCCCATTTCCAGAAATATCCTGGGGGTTAGTGATTCTCCAGAATCTCCCAGATTATGTCCAAAGTCTGCCAATAAAGGAGTTGGGTGGGCCCTTTTGTCTCTCCAAACTTCTGCCCACTTCTTGCTGTAAAACTTAAAGCAAAGTCACTATTTCACAGTCTACCCCTGCAAGCAACTCCCTTCTTGGAAATGCTTTCATGATATTACCATCATCATTATCACCACCACCAACATCATCACCATCACCACCATCGTCATCATCATCGTCACCACCACCATCTCCACCACATCATCACCACTACTATCATAATCACCATCACCATGATCATCATCATCATCACCACCAACATCATCACCATCACCACCATCACTATCCCCATCATCATCACCATCCCACCATAATTGTACTCTCTGTTGTTGCCTCACAGGTCACTAATCACTTTACAGTAAAGTTAAGAATATGAATTTTGGAGTCAAACAGACTTTTTTCCATACAAGCTGAGTCTCAATTTCTTCTTCTGTAAAGTAATAATGATAACAGAACCTGCTTCACAGTATGGACAGAGATATTTAAGAAACCATTTGAAAGAAAAAGTATAGCAAACAAAAGAAAGATAAATTGGAGTATTTATGTAATTTTAGTATTATCTATTTTTAGTATTTTTATAAAGTAAAAATTTAAAACTTCTCAGCATCACAGAACACAGATCAAGAGAATGAAAAGACAATTCACAGAATGGGAGAAATACTTGCAAATTATATATTTGATAAAGGGCTAAAATCCAGAAAATCCACAAACACACACACAAAAAAAACACACACACACACAATTTAACAATGATCAAATATAGTTCAATTTGAAAATGGGTAAAGGAAAAGAAACAGATACTTCTCTGAAGATCTACAAATAGCCAACAAACACCTGAAAAAATGTGCTAATCATTTGGAAAATGCAAATTATAACCACGATGTATTATCACTCCACACTTATTGGGATGGCTACTATTAAAAAAAAAATAGAAAATAACAAGTCTTGGCAAAGATGTGGAGAAACTGGGACCCTTATACGATGTTGATGGGAATATAAAATAGTGCAGCCTCTATAGAAAACAGTATGAAGTTCCTTTAAAAACTTAAAAATAGAATTGCCATATGATCCAGCAATTCCACTTCTGGGAACATATCCAAAAGAATTAAAATCAGTGTCTCAAAGCTATATCGAGTTCAAGGCCATTGCAGCATTATGAGAGTAGTTGAAAGGTACAAGCAACCTAATTATCCATCAACAGATGAATGAATAAACACCATGTAGTACACACATAAAATGGAATCTTATTTAACCTTCAAAAAGGAAGAAAATTTTGACACAGACTACAACATGGATGCACCTTGAGGACATCATGCTAAATGAAATAAGCCAGTCGTGAAAGGACAAACACTGTATGGTTCCATTTACATGAGGAATGCAGAACAGTCAAAATCATGGAAACGAAAGTAGAAGGGTGGCTACCAAGGGAGAGGAAGTAGGGATTTCTTGTTTCTAGGGTACAGAGCTTCAGTTTTGCAAGATGAAACTTGGTGGTGATGTTTGCACAACAATACTGAATGAACTTAATGCCACTAAACTGTGCACTTAAAATGTAAGTTTTGCATCATGTGTATGACTCCCTCACTCCCAAGACCCTCACCTCCTAAGAGATCTTGAGTGTTTGCCCCAAGTCTCCAGCCGTATCTCTCAGCTTCCCTCAACCAGGGCCACAGCATCAGCCCCACATCCTGGCCCTGTCCCACAGCTCTTTCTTCACAGTCCTCAGGCAGCAAGAGGCATCATAAACTAATTGAGACTCCTTTCTTTTCTTTTATGTCCCAAAGATTTAGGTCAATTATTTGTTTATTAAGTAAGAAGTCTGCTTTTCCCTGGGGAGTTTAGCTTGGGTGTGCAATGGTCAAAGGGGACTAAGTTTGAACCTGCTCTACACTGTGTATGTTGATCTTCCCCATTATTCCACTACCTGTCCTATTTTCACCGAGTTTGGGGATCAATTAATTAAGAGCATGGGCTTTGGTGAGCTTAAATCCTAGTTCCTCCACTTAGTAGCTCCATCATTGGGCCAGTCTCTTTTCCTTGTAGTGAGTTGGGTGGGGGGTAGCATACCAACTGCAGAGGGTGGTACAACTAAATGCAGTTGTGTGTGTCACATCTTCGACCATTGAGACTGGCACACAATAAGGATTAAATAAAAGGTGTCAGTGATCATTACCAGGTTCCCCAAAGTGATTTCACCAGGGCCATGGCTTCAACTAACTCCAACCTGAATCTCATTTACTGCCACTGTCAGCCCCAGATTGGATGTCTACTGGGCATCTCCCTCTGAACATCCCCCAGGCAACTCAACCTCAATATGTCCCACCCTGAAGTCATTTTCTTCTCTCCCAAGCCCACTCCCCAGCCAATCGATATCATTGATTGTTCCCAAGCTTTGCCACTTGTTGCCCCTTTTTCTCTAATCTCTTCCCATGTCTACTGTTCCATTCGGGCCCTCAACATCTGTGTCCTTCCTCCTACAAATTTCACACACAGCCCACTTTATACTGAAAAAAAATCTGAACATGTCACATCTATAGCTATCTAGCTTCTATAGCATCTTTCTATAGACTCTTTGGCAATCTAATGACTTTACAAGGTAACCCTAGTGCCTCACCAGCCAACCATGGTTCTTGATCACTCATGCCTAGCACACTACATCCCAGTCCCACCAAAACTGCCTACCATATTGTTTCCATGATAAGTTCTTTCATGACTCTGAACTTTGCATTCCTACTACCTGGAATGATCTCCTTCAAATTTTTTGGAGAAAACTAGCTTCTAGGGTTTCTTGCCTCACAAACCCATCTCTTCAACTTAGTACTTACCCCTCTGTATTGCACTTATTTCTCTATCAGTCTCTTTATTGAGACTGTGGGCTTCTTCAGGACTATGTACTGTGAATTTGTACATAGTTCTATCCTCGGCGCCGGGCTCCAGACACTCCATAATGGGTATCTAGTAGATGCATGAGCAAATGAATCTCTTGCATATAATAGCTGGGACCCCAGGTCTCTATCTTCTTGCCTCAGAGCTTGTAACTCAGTTGCAAGACGTTTCCTAAGTTGAAGCCATTTGCTCCTGATGTCTAGGACATTATTAATGGATCTCTGATATAACTATTTGGTTTAACATAGAATGTTGGAATGGATTCTTGAAGATTCAGTTCAAACCATAGCCAGTAATGTTCTATTCTCATTTATTTCTTGTTCCAACTTGGTACTGGAAGAGTGGGCGTGAGAAGAAGAACATAACCCAGTGGGATGTTACCTGTGGGTCTGGATGTCGGCTAACAATGATGGGCACTGGACCAGGATTACAGTGACTCAGGATCGCATAGACTTCATTGAGTGTCATGCAGTGCACAGGGGAATCATTGATTTCTACGATCTCATCACCACACCTGCAAAAGCACCAACAGGAAACCATCAGAAAGCTAATGAATATTGACACCTGGAAGGTTGCTTCTCTGGGAGACCTAAACATCATATCAATAAGTAGACCTCCCTGACTGCTTGATCAAAACTCAGAACAAGGTGGACCAAAGCACAACCACAAAGTACCCAATATTTCATACCCAGAGAGCTCCAACACGAACAAAGTTTCATCTGTAACTTTGTTCCTTCTTTTCCCATTTAATCACACTCAATCAGGATGAGGGCAGGGGTTATCTGAACTAACTGATGGACCGGTCAACCATGATGTAACCCATTGCATCTCCTCCTTGGACCTTAGTGTTCTCACACGTAGAATGATTAGGAGGAAAGATTGGACAGGATGTGCTGAAGAGCAAAGAAGAAATAACTGGGTAGGAGATCAGTCAAAGTTCCTGCAAAAAAAAATCTAAAAAGCAGGTGTTGGAACTCATTTTAGCTTTAAAATGGGACAGGAGTTACCAGCAACTGCTCTGGTTTAGATAAGTGTCCCCCAAATGTCCTTATGGTAAAGTCTTGATCCTCAGCCTGGTGCTACTGGGAGGTGATAGAACCCTTCAGAAGTGGGACCAAGTGAGAGGCCTTCTGGTTACAGGGAAGGGAAGGCAATTCCCTTCCCTGTAACCAGATGACACCCTCCCATTCCTTTCTCTCTTTTTCAAATCTCCATCCTGAGGTGAACGATTTGCTCCATGTCATGGTCCCTGCCATGATGTGCTGCCTCACTACAGGCCCAAAAGCAATGGGGCCAATCAGACATGAACTGGAACCTCCAAACTATGAGCCAAAATAAACCTTTGCTCTTATAAATCGATTATCTCAGGCATTAGTTATAGTAACAAAAAGCTGACTAACACAGCTACCTAAACAGAAAAAGAAATGAGGTAGGAAAGATAGGGGTCATTGATTCATGGAAGATTTGTGCAATCTACCTTCTTTCCCCATCATAGATGACATAGAATGTGAAATAGTCTCTGATACATCCTAGCCGGGAAATTGATACTTTTTTTTTTTTTCTTTAATAAAGCAGCAAAGAGTGAATCCTTTAGGCTTCACAGGCCCTTCCATCTCTGTTACAGTGACACAGCTGCGCTATTGTAAGATGATAGCTGCAGCTATAGACAATTTGTAGACATATGTTTATGGCTTTCTTAATAAAACTTTATTTAAAAATCAAGAGGTCTGCAATTTGCAGACTCCTGGCCTCACTCCTAGACCAGGATGAGAACACAGGTTCCTGTGCTGATTTTCCTGTTCCCCCTGTTGTGGTCTGCTGCTTCCTTCTCCTATATTTCTGCTGAGCAGGTATGCTTTCACCCTTGCTAAGAAAGCACACAATTTATTTATGTGACTAAAAATTACTGTCATAGAGCCCCAAATGCCAAGGAAAATAGAAGTTTCCTGAATAATTCCAGTGTAGGCCTAGGAGGGAGATACTCTCTGTTAGAGGGTATTAGGACAAAGGCTATCACCCTGACCCTGCTATTATGCCCTGTGCACTAGCACAGAGGCTCAGCAAATCAGCTGTCACCCTCCAACAGATGACAGTAGCAGTGTGTCTCTAATTAGAAGCTCCATCAAGGACTTGCCTGTATACTGCAATTCTAAGAAAACTTTTAAAATAGGGCAGAAATATCTTGATTTAGCAAAATGCAAATGCAATGAAAGAAAATGTACTATATACAAATATTAGAGTGTGTATGAAGTATTATAACAAGTTGAATGGAGATCAAATATTTTGAGAAAAATCAGGTTACTTATTGAAAAGAAAATTTAGATTTATATTTCTCTTAGAACTTATCTGTTAAAAAATATGCCTGGAGTGCCTGAAAATATTTTGTTTATGCCAGCAAGAAACCATATTTATGCAACTGATTTGCTCAGAGAACTAACTGCTTTTTCTATATAGAGCTCACGGGCAAACCTTGGAAGCTCCTATTTATGACACTATGATTTCTATGCTAGTTGAATCTGAGTTAAAGTGTGTTTAGTTCACTTTCTGTTGCAGACTGATATTCTCTGAGGTTGGCTTCTTAAACTGTCACATGCATACAAATCCCAGGGGGTCTTGTTAAAATGTAGATTGAGTCAGCTGGTTCTCTCTCTCTCTCTCTCTCTCTCTCTCTCTCTCTCTCTCTCTCTCTCATGCTGAGGATTGAGCCCAGGGCCCAGATGATGTCTAAGTCATGCTGCTGGTCCAGCTACTTTGAGAGCCATCTCTGGGCCATGCCTATGTCATTCTAAGCATCAATCTTCAAATCAATCTCCTGACCTTCCTAAGTAGTTCTTCCCTCGGTTGTAAGTCAGGGAGCTATTCAAAAACAGAAGTGAGGACATACCGCAGTCGTCCATCCAGATGTGCCACAGATCCTGGAGAGAGAGTGTGAACAAAAATGCCCGAGATGCACTGGAAGTAGGGGACACTGCACAGGCCGATGCCCAGGCCAACGCCAGCCTCTGCAAGGCAGAACAGGGTGAGAGGCGGGAGACTGTGAGCTTCCCCAGGTGTGCACTAGTCTGTTAGGTGCCACCAGCACTGTCTGTTAGGGTCCCTTATTTATCATGGCATTTATTCCACCCACATTTGTGGCACATCCTCTATGTATAGGTACTGCTTAAGGTTCTAAAGTGACCAACATAAACAAAGTATAGCAATTCCAAGTGGAGAAACTCTAAAAAGAAAAGAGGGAATGAAAAAGAAAGGGAGAAGGAAGGAAAGGAGGGAGGGGGTATCCAATAGTGAGGAGTATTATGCAGAGAATCAATGAGGAATGTGCTATAAGGTGACAGGATGGTCACTATGGGCCTCAGAGGAGACAATGACGTTTAGGCTAAAATGTGGATGACAAGAAAGATCTAGGAATGAGGAGACAGGGCAGAGCATTCCAGCAAGAGAAACAGCCAATGCACAAGGCAAAGGGTGAGAAAAACCATGCCGTGTTGCAAGTTAGGAAGGGCATGGTCAGTCACAGGAGCATGGCATGAGATGACAAATGGCAGGATCAAGGACTGGATTAAACAAGGCTTTGTAAGCAAGGGCATGACTGAAACGATGCTACTCCGTACTGCAAAGACATGCCATGGAGATCTGTGAGCAAGGCAGTGGCGTGACCTAACGTCTTCTGTTGCACATGTTGGAGAAAGAACTATGGTGTTTAAGAGGGGGAAACATGGAGGCCAGTGGAGTGGCACTGCTGAGCAAGACAACAGTGGCTTTGACTTCACCACTAATGAAGAAAGAGAAATCTATGTGTGTGAAATATCTGTTGAAGACAGACTTTCTGAGGGATGAAATACAGGGGTTTCATAAATAAAAATAAAAATAACTGAATAGATGATGATGCTGTTTACCAAACAGGGAAGTCCAGGGAGGACAGCGATGATGAGGATGAGGACCCAGTGTTCAGTTACACCCAAGTTGCACTTGTGATGCCAGGAGGTATCTGAGCCAACCTGTACAGCAGAGAGTGGCCCAAAACCCAGGCAGAAAGAGGGACTAAAGTTAAAAGTTTGTAGCAGCATATAGGTGGTATTAGGGCCATGGGGATCCTACAGAATACAGAAGGGGAAAAACGAGGGGTTTGCTGGAAGGTGACAGGAAGGCCACTTCAGGTCTCACAGCAAAGACCTGGAGAACGAGAAGCAGTCAGCAGGAAGGACTAGATGGAATGGTCACAGAGTGAAAGGAAGACCTCCTAAGTGGTTTTTCTCATGTTTTACAAAGCACTTTCATGAATATTTTTACCTTTTTGATTCTGGTTCTCCCAAAAAGCCACCTGAAGGATGTCATGGGCCATTGTTAGTGACCCTATTCTACAGGTAAAGAATTTGGGCTGTGACATGAGCCACCAACACAGGTCAGAACCCTAGATGAGCTTCCTGACTCCAGCAAGAGTTCTTCAGCTTAATGGGCATCAGAATCACCTGGAGTCCTTATTTAAAATATAGATTCCTGAGCCTCAGCCCAAATGGCTGCATCAAAATCTGTTGGGGTAGAGTCTAAGAATAAGAAGAGGCTTATTTAAATCAAGAAGGCAAAGACCCTCCATACAGGTGCTTCTGATACCAATAATCAGAGGAAACACCACTCTGAGGCCATGCCTACTCAGAAAACTCCCTGCATGAACCCTATTCACAGCACACCTGCACACACCCATATGCACCTTGCACTTATCTACAACACCGCGCCAGGCCTCGGCACACAGAGATGTCTGAGTCTTCCAGGAGCTTCTAGTACAGCAGGGGAGCTAAGACATACATCAGGCAAACTCCTGTGCAATGAATTAATTCCACACCCTCTTCTCCTCTCTCTACAATTCATCTCAATCCATCTACTTCTCTCCAAAGCACTATTCCTATGCTCAGACCCAAATGGCTGAATGCCAAGTGCTCTAATGTCATCACTCACTCTGTTCACCTTGCTTTGGCCATGCTGACCCTCCCTCTGTTCCTAGAACACATGACCCCTCTGCTGGAGCTCAACTCTGTGACTAGCTGCCTCCTCTCCATCATTCTGGTCTCAGCACAGTTGAACTTTGGTAGAAAGGACTTTGTGGGCTCTCTGGGGTTTGTTAGCCATGGGCCTGTGGTGACACAATGAATGGCTGTGACTCTCAAATGTCAGAACTTCAATTCTCTTGTCTGGGTAAGAAAACAGGGGCCCAGAGAGATTAAGTGACCTGCCAAGGACACTGAATACATTAGCTGCAAGGCTACAAAGCCTTGTCCCTTATATCCATTTCCTCCCCACCACTTATCTATGTTTGTTTTGTTTTCTTTCCACCACTGCAGGACACATTGACTAGATTTGGACAGTTTGTCTTGAGCTTCTAGAAGCAGAAAACTCAACCTTCTACTCATCCCAGCCCAGCAACAGCCATGGGGTCTGCTAGTTGAGAGCATCCTGCCCACCCTGAGCTGATTCCAACAGGGAAGCCTGAACTCAGCCAGGTATGGAAACCTGGAAGGAGGCTGGGCGATGCTGGCAGAGCCTCCAGTGGTCAGCACTCTTACCTTTCTTCAGGGAAACCTCCACCATGACTCTGTAATTGGGTTTGGCAATGCTGGCAGGAGACGCAGGGCTTTCCAGGGCAAAGAGGCTGCTGTCCTTGGCGACACACGTGCTGGAGCTCAGGGAGCGGCACAGGGGTGGAGACAGGTGGCTGCCCAGGGCAGGGGGCGCTGTCAGGCGGGTCCTCACGGTTAGGGTGAGGAGCCCTTTCTTGGCTTGCTGAAAGAAAAGGGAGAGTGTGACAATACCCAGCAGCAATGCCAGGGCCAGTGAGGCAGACTGTCCTTCATGAGTGACAGTAATAAAATACTTTATAAAGGAAATGCAGCTCAATGTGTGTGTCATATATAAACATGTGTATTATTCATATATGCAACATATATGACACACACAAAAGTACTCTATTACATATCGTACATTATAGGCTACATATAATATAAAACATCATGTATGACATTGCATTATAGCATTGTACATAATATTTATGACACACACAGTATTATATATTATATGTAATATATGATAAATGTCATATACCAGATATACATGCATGAGTACTACATATTATATATTATGTGCAGTGTTTATTATGCTGTATATTACATAGCATATAAGCAGACACATAAGTATATATATATATATATATATATATATATATGTGTGTGTATATATTCACACATAGATATGTATGTGTATTACAAAGTAGTCTTAAATTGAACCAACTAGATGGAGACTCAAAAATATCTTTGAGTGATGTTTTAAAACCCCCAAACATATTTATAAATATATGAGTCTAAATACATAGAGTATTATGCATACTGTTTTAACATAGCTTTATACATTTTAAGTAGTTCAAATATTCCCCCAAAACAATCCTGATTACATTCTGATTTTCTGAGTAATGACATTTTAACACTGTGCTCAAGAGCAGCATCAGCTAGGGACCCTTCATGTAAAGCGGGGAGCAGTTGATGTGGTTTCCTGAAGGCCCTGGGGTTTGACCAGATGGTAATTAGAAACCTTGAACTTCTGCAAAGCATCCTGATGTGTTAATCCAGCCATCGATTCACCATTGAGCTCCAGAATTTCATCACCTGTTGAGATAAGCGGAATAATTTTGTCAATCACAGGTCAAAGCTCTTACTTTGAACTCTGGTCTTACCACTGCCCAACGTTTTGTACAGAGAAGAACAATTTTGAGAGGCAGGATCAGCAGTGACCTAATCAGGTCTCCTTGCTTCATATTCACCCTCCCTGCCTCCCTGACCCTCACACCTTTGCTCCCATGTATCATTTTCAATATGATCTGCATTTTCACAATGGTCTATGCAGTTAAATGCCTGGCTCATGCCATTTTCTCAACTAAAATGTACTTTTCTTACCTTCTCCACCCAACTCTCTCTTAACCTTTCAGCCCCTGTTATCTTTATCCTTTTTTTGTGTTTTGATTTTTGTTTTTGTTTTCGTAATGCTCATGGCACTCTGTACCTACCACATTGTAGCACTCGTCACACTGTGTGGTAATCAGTAACCTGCAAAAATCATTCCATGGCCAGGGTGACAGATCTTTGAGGAGAGGGACTTCTTCATATTAGATGATAACCCAGAGCCAATTGTGGGTAAGGTCAACAAAATGCTCAATAGATGTGGGTTGGATGTGATATTTCCAGAATGCAATGTGGGCCTCACTTACAGAGGAAAAAACAGCTCAGAGAAATCCCAAGTCACAAAGTAAAGAGAATTAGGACTTGTATCTTTCAACTTCAAGGATTTTCTTCCTAACAGTATACCCCTAGGATAATTTTTTTTTTCTCTATCCAGAAGTCTATTTTTATGTGAATGAAAACCACTTTCTCCCTTTCATTCAATTTATTCAACATACAAACAAGGAACACTTTCTCTTCATTCCACACTGTGCTGAGCAATTCAAATGCAAAGGCTATTTTTATACTGACTTTGCTGTCACTAATTATGGTTACAGTGTATATAATCTATACATTTGCTCTCATTGTTTTAAAGATTTTTTTCCTTTGTCTTTGATATTCTGCAGTTTCACTATGGTGTCCTAGGGCAGAAGAAAATCCTCTTCTTCCTCAAGCGATAGTTTCATGCATTAAATAAATTCTGGAAAATTTACTCTCTTTGGGTATTATTCTTCTCTTTTCACTGTTATTTTTTTCTAAAATTTCTATTGGATATATTTTAGACCTTTTGCTGTGTTCTCCCTGTCTCTTTAATGCTCTTCTTTTTAATCTTTGTTGCTCTGTGTAGTCTCCTGGATAATTTCTAGTTCACTAATTTTTCTTATAGCTGCATTGAATCTGTTGTCTCACCAATCAATTGATACTTCACGGAAATTACTATGCTTTAAAAAAGAAATCCAGAAACCACTTTTTTCACATTAATCTATTTTTCCTTGTGTTCTGTTTATTCCTTACAGTTTATATTCCTTCTTTTATCACTTAAAATTATTTTAAACACAGTAATTCTATTGTCTCTTTTATATTATTCTATTATATTATTTTTTGAGGGCCAATATTCCTCTGTGTTATTTCTGCTGACCCTTCTGAGGTAATATGTGACCTTTATTGTAAATTTATTTTTCAGAGTGTTTCTGTTGTCCTGTGGGATTCCCATATACCTCAGGTCACCCAGTTTTTCCTTTATTTCTACTAGGAACCCCTAGGGAAATCAATTTAATATTGATTTCCCAGATTGGGGATTTATGTTCTCCACAGAGACTATAAATATGATCTTTGAGACCACATATGATACAGGCATTGATGTTTATTTCCTTGTGAGAGATGTTTTCCCCACTCAAGTGTCATGGGCAACCAGATGTGGTGGTGGATACCAGAGACTCAGAAGGCTGAGGCAGGAAGCTCATAAGTTTTAGGCCAGTCTGGGCAACTCAGTGAGAATCTGTCTCAAAATAAAAGATAGAAGAGGTTGGGGATGTAGCTCGGTGGTTGAGCACCCATGGGTTCAATGCCCAGGACCATTTAAAAAAAAAAAAAAGTCATGAGCAAAGTCAAGTTTCCTTATTGCTTCCCTGGGGCCTGTTGGCCTTTTATGAGTCATAGCTCTTTTAGTATCAGGGCTTTGTGCAGATTCTCAGAGCCTCACATGGACCCAAGGACTCAAATGGGAACAGAGGACACATCCCTTAGGGTCTGTAACAGTCCAGCAGCCCTCCGGGCCACCACGTCATCAACTCTTGAGTTTGCCTCGTTTGGATTTAAAGCTCTCTTTGCCTTCTGGCAGCTTGTCATTCCCATCTCTTTCCTTTGAGTTCAGATGTATTATTTCATCCAACACGTCTGTGTGTGGCCATAGAGGGTAGAGGCACAGTGGAAAATATTGGTTTTGGGGGATTGGCTTACTTTGTTTAGCATGATATTATCCAACTCCATCCATCAGCTCAGCATGGCAGGTCATTGGAACCAGAGTAAAAAAAATGGAATGACCCAGCCCTTGTCCTTGTGAGTCTTCAAATCCAGGAGTGACAACAGACACATTAAAAAAAAAATGTTCAAAAGTAATTGTGGGCTGAAAAAATGTTAGACAAAGAAAAAACAGCAGCATGTCCATTCTTAATTATGTAAGGGGCTGAACCCAACACGGTCATGTAGCCCAGTTCTGTACTCTTCTGTCCTTTCCTTATTGGGACATGTCCAGTGAGAATTGATCTGCCTGATTTTGCCAAATACATCTTACACAATCATTTTTTGGAGCTGGTATAAGGGCTATTGTACAGCCTTGATCTGTACAACAAACTTTTGTCCCCACCAGCATATCCCCCCATGGACTCAAGAGTAGATTTGGAAACTTCACTGCTGAAAAAAAGATTACAAAAGGCAATTTGGCCAATTACTTGAGGCTTGAACCAGGGACTGCACACTATCAGAATGTCTCGGCTCATTGAAATTCTTCATTTTTTATCATTGTTATTAACTATGGGAGACAAATACCCAGGCAAATACAAGGACATTGGCTTTGGGCAGGCTTGCACTCAGGGAAGAAAAGAAAATACAAAACCATCTTTTCTTGCCACCTCAACTTCTCCCTGGTACTATGCTTAAACCCAAACAAGTAAGAAAATGAAACAAATAAGGCTATGCTCTCCAGATTCTGATTCTACTTTTCTTACTTTCTCTCATTGGCTCCTATTGTCTGCCTACTCTTTTTTTTTTAATGTTAATTATATATTTATTCTAATTAGGTATATATGGCATCAGGATGCATTTTGATTCATTGTATGCAATTGCAACACAACTTTTCACTTCTCTGGTTATACATGATGTAGTGTCACACCATATGTGCAATCACACATGTACCTAGGGTAATGATATCCATCTCATTCCACCATCTTTCCTGCCCCCATGTCCCTTCCCCTCCCTTCTCTTCCCTTTGCCCAATCACAGTTCCTCCATTTTCCTCATGCTCCCTGCCCCATTATGGATCATTATCCACTTATCAGAGAGAATATTTGGCCTTTGGTATTGGGGGATTGGCTTACTTCATTTAGCATGGTATTATCCAACTCCATTCATTCACCTGCAAATGCCATAATTATATTCTCTTTTAATGCTGGGTAATATTCCATTGTGTATTGATACCACAGTTTCTGTATCCAGTCATCTATTGAGGGACATCTAGGTTGCTTCCACAGTTTAGCTATTGTGAATCGAGCTGCTATAAACATGGATGTGGCTGCGTTACTATAGTTATGCTGTTTTAAAGTCCTATGGGTATAGATTGAGGAGTGGGATAGCTGGATCAAATAGTGGTTACATCCCAAGTTTTCTAAGGAATCTCCACACTGTTTTCCAGATTGGTTGCACCAATTTGCAGTCCTACCAGCAATGTATGAGTGTGCCTTTCCCCCACATCCTCGACAACACATATTGTTGTTTGTATCTTCATAACTACCATTCTGACTGGCATGAGATGAAATCTCAGAGTAGTTTTGATTTGCATTTCTCTAATTACTAGAGATGTTGAACTTTTTTTCATATATTTATGGATTGATTGTATATCTTCTTCTGAGACATGTCTGTTCAGCTCCTTTGCCCATTTATTGATTGGGTTTTGGGGGGTTTTAGCATTAAGTTTTTTGAGTTCTTTATATATCCTGGAGATTAGTGCTCTATCTGATGTGTGTGTGGCAAAAATTTGCTCCCAAAATGTAGAGTTTCTCTTTACCTCATTGATTGTTTCTTTTGCTGAGAAGAGGCTTTTTAGATTGAATCCATTGCATTTATTGATTCTTGATTTTATTTCTTGCACTTTAGGAGTCTTGTTAAGGAAGTTGGAGCCTAATCAGACGTGATGAAGATTTGGGCCTACTTTTTCCTCTATTAGGCACAGGGTCTCTGGTCTAATTCTTAGGTCCTTGATCCACTTTGAGTTGAGTTTTGTGTATGGTGAGAGATAGGGGTTTTGTTTCATTCTGCTGTATATGACTTTCCAAGATTTTAATTGGAATTGCATTGAATCTGTATAGCACTTTGGATAGTATGGCCATTTTGACAATATTAATTTTGCCTACCCAACAGCATGGGAGATCTTTCCATCTTCTAAGTTCTTCTTCAATTTCTTTCTGTAGTGTTCTGTAGTTTTCATTTTAGAGGTCTTTCACCTATTTTGTTAAATTGATCCCCAGGTATTTTATTTTATTTTTAGATACTGTGAATGGGGTAGTTTTTCTAATTTCTCTTTCAGAGGATTCATCACTGATACATAGAAATGAATTTGATTTAGGGGTATTGATTTTATATCCTACTACTTTGCTGAATTCGTTTATTAATTCTAGATGTTTTCTGGTGGAATTTTTTGGATCCTCTAAGCATAGAATCATATTGTCAGCAAATAATAATAGTTTTGAGTTCTTATTTTCCTATCCATATCCCTTTAATTTCTTTCATCTGTTTAATTACTCTGGCTAGAGTTTCAAAGACTATGTTGAATAGAAGTGGTGAAAGAGGACATCCCTGTCTTGTTCCAGTTTTTAGAGGGAATGATTCCAATTTTTCTACTTTTAAATGATGTTGGCCTTAGGTTTAGCATGGATAGCTTTTACAGCGTTGAGGTA